TTATAACAATAACATTATGGGGTGGTGTGCTCGAGACTTCTCTCGGGTTATTCAATGAAGTCTTTTAGGATTTGCTTTATAAGCTTTTTTCGCGGCTCATAATATATTCCAACCGCATATTATTCTTTGCCCTTTGGGTAAACCGCCGCACTGGGATCTATCATTTTTGCATATCAGGAGAAACCGCGAGACATCAAAATGATATACAACTCTAGTTCTTCTCCTTTAAAATGAACATAGCATTAATACGTGCCTCGTCGCAAAAAAACGGCCCGTAATTACTAGAAATAAATAAAAAGTCGAATTTCTCTCGGAAAGAATTGCCCGCGAATATAAGTTGTCCTCTCCCAAACATATGTTCGCCGTTGAAAACGATTATTCAGAGGTGCAATAAGAAATCATTTATGGAAATTGGATACGACCGGATGCTCTAATTAAAAGTAACAAATCTCCCAAGTTAGGGTCAATTGTATTATAATTGAGTTGGCTTTACGTACTTTCCGTCTCCGCGTCTACGCGTTATAGTTTCGTCTTTTTGGTTCCAAAGCAAGTGCCTGCGTTCCTCGGCCTGTATTTCGCCACTGCCGAGATAAAAGTAATGACATTACCATTTGTCTGCATCACTTTACCGCTCTTTCCTTGTCTGTCGCGCGAGCCGTCCTTGTAATCGATAGCGCAAGGACATTCGTCCGTCCGTCCAGGCCGTCCGCCCGGCCATCCATTCATCCATCCATCTATCCGTCTATCCATCTATCCATCCCATCTATCCGCCACCCGTCTACCCGCGAACTTAACGCAGCGTTCAGCGCGATGCAAGAAGCGGCCATTATCGTTCTCTTCTTTTTGCGTTCCCGCATTGTTCCACTTTTTTCGATACTTTCAATTTATAGAAACGAGATTCCGCCACTTATCCTGTATGGAAGTCCCCGCTCTCCTGTCGGCAGAGGAGTTTTATTATAAACTCTCGCACGTACCTCCCTCGCGATCGGATTAATGAACACGATGGGTTTAACGAAGCGCGTCTCTTTCATCGATGGCGTTCGTTAATAATCTTTGATGCGAGATGTTCCGCGTACGCAGTGGAGCGTTTGATGGAAGGGAATATCGTTCGGTGTAAGAGAGAAAGATAGAGGGAAAGGGAGAGAGAGCGGGCTCAAGTAATTGCCCTTCTTGAATTAGAAGTTGCGCAGGATCAACGACGGCGCGATGCGTTTAAGAAAATAACCAAGTGTTTTAATCTGCGAGCTGAAAACTTTACGATATTACGTCTACTACGACGGATATTACTGCACGATGTAAAATATCTATCGCGCGAATTTAAGACTTGAATTTAATTAGAATTTTCGATAATATCCATCATTACCGTTCTTGTCTCGATTTCTGTAAAAACACGGTAAAGAATTCTTCGACTTGAATTTCGCTGCTCGAGCAATGCAAATTTGCTTTTGAATCAGCGACGCGTTAGGTGTGTGTGTCTTTTTATGTTAATGAGTTGATTGAAAAAGAGAAATCCAGAGCGTGTCGTGGAGTCACTAATGGAACGTTGACCGACGAAAAAGCTGGTCTAGCTAGGCGATCGGGAATCACGCGCGAGACGTAGGGGATGTCGAGCGAGATACGGGCAGATTTAAAGGTCTGTTTTCATTGCTATTCCGAATCGCGTGCGGGCTTCCGCACGGCTTCCGCGCCGAGTTTCCGCTGTCCTGTATGGGAGCAGGCATCGGTTTGATTGGTAAATCTACGGCTGCCCAATGATGCGTTTATTTGTCGAAGAATTAGGACAGCGTCCGCGCGAGACAGAGCGACGGGGATGGGGACGCGCAGGTGGGATGTCACTAGGTGGGTGAATGAAACGGGACGGGGCCGAAGGGAGAGGTCGGGAAGGGTCGGTGCGGTCCGACCGTCTCTCTCTCTCTTTCGAGGGCCGCGTCGTACGGCACTCCGCCGCAATCAGTAAACCTGTAAAACATTGGATTAGGTGGCCCTGGCGTGACCCCGCTCCGACTCCCGTGGACGAGCCGGAGTTCCAATTTCCGAGGTACGGCTCGCGCAACGGAGCGCGGCTATGCGCGCTCTTCTCGTTCTCCATCTCGGCGTCGCGATACGTTATCCAATAGCGCTCGAATTATTCTCGTTTTATTCGCCGTGCCAGCAGCATGCGCGACCACGGCGCACATCCTGCGCTTCCCGTATCGTAACCGGTTAGCCAGGCCCGCTGCTACGTTCCGCGAGAGAACGATTTATTTCCCTACGTTTCTTCCTCCCTTCGCTTCGCCCTTTCCCCCCTCTCTCACCCTCTTTCTCTCGCTTTTTGTCTCTCCAGTTAACAAATTCTTCGCCTTTGTCGCGCGATAAATTTGATTTATTATTATCGTTATTGCGCTTGTTATTCCGCTCGGATGTAAAGTCTTGCCCGCGTAATTCCCGACCTCGCGGGATACATGGCCCGCGCGCAGAGCGCGGCTTCAAGAGTCGACGCGTCATTATCAATTTATCACTGTCGCCCCCGTTTATTCTCATCGGTAGATAATCAGCCGCGGAATACCGGCGACCACACCGGTGTCGTCGTTGAAACGACTTGGCGCCGGCTAAATCGAACAGCCCCGGCTTTCTCCGCCCGGTTTCAAATATCCGGAAAGCAACGTCGTTTAGAGCCGCCTTTTCAACCTGGGGATGTTTGCGCGCTTGTTACCGGCGATAGCGGGTCTCCGCTACTTGCCGAATCCCCCCCTCCGGTCGCTGAACGGGTTTAGTAGCCACTCGACGATGTTTTCATCCGAAATTGTCATGTGGCACATACAGGTCCTTCTCTGCGAAGAACAAAAAAAGAGGCGGGGAGGGATGAGCGGCTAAAGAGGGACGGGGGGAGAAAACACCGCGCGCGCAAAAGGGATGGTCGCGCGCACCCCGGTCGGGTTTCGGAGAAAGACGGAGAGCGTGTCGATGCGTCGGTAGTGGTGGCTTGGCGGAGGGTAGCGACGGAGGAGGGGGAGCTAGCCCCTGGTGCGCTCGCGCACCCGATCCTACACTCCCGCTCCCCCTCCCTCCCCCTTCCCTGCCCACCGCTCCCTCCCAACCCCCGTGTGTGCGCGCGCGCGAGATCTGTCGCTGGAGGACCGTGGTTGGTATGGCGTCTACGCCGGCGTTGGGTATCCCTGCCGTCCGTGCACGTATACGAGCGCGCGAATGGATGGGTGGCACGCACACACGCCCCGGCGCCCGCGTACGAATCCACGCACACAGCCGCGTACCCCCGCACGTGTACACTCGGCTCGGTCGGTGTGCGAAGGAGTGGGGAGCCGGGATGTCGGAGGGTTGCTGAAGTTTCTCTAACGCTCGATGGCGTACCAGTGCGGATCGTGATTCTGCGGGACGCGCAGCGTCGCGGCGTCCTCCGTGTCCTCTACCGAACTTCGCGCGTCCGTCCGTCCGTCAGCGGCGCGAACGGCCGGCTTTTAGGGTCCAGTGCGACGAGAACTGTCGGAGGGGGGGGTATTGGAGTATCCGCAGGGGGCACACGTGGGGGAGCGTTAAATTGAGGAAAAGATGATACATGACGCCATGATAAGATGCCTCTTATCACTGTGACGGTCACGGGACGCCGAGCGTCCTTCTCGGGCGCGGAGAGTTACGTCGATTGCCGTCCGGAAGGAATACGATAGCTCGTCCCGAGGATCAACGCTTACATTTCTCATTTCCCAATGCTTTTATCGTTTCTTCTCCCACTTGAATGTCCCGATGGTCGGACAATGGCCGAGAGTAAACGTACGATCGAAGATGAAGGGAATTTATGCTGAGAGTACGTTCATTGATGGCCGAGTCGAACCGGGTCGGCCCCTCTTGATCTTGATCGATGTAGGTCGAGAGCGAGTACTTAAATAATCCTGTTGCCTAATCGACGTTTGTATTTCAATAGTCTCCCGTGCGTTCCCACTCCTCCCGGTTTCATTAAGGAGTTGCCGTAATTGCCTAGATCCCATTAGAGCAAAAGAGCGGAGTGTCACTTAAAAGTTAGTCGAATTACCGTTCTTGCTGCGTATTGTGCATCGTCGCGCTCGTTGCATCGTAGCCGCGTAAGAACCGGAGTCTGTCAGGCCCTCTTTCTTTCTCTCTCTCTCTCTCTCTCTATATATATATCGACCTCGTCGGTTATGACTTAAGGCGCACATCGCGAGCTTCGCCGACGGTACATTCCTTTCCTCTCGACGGCGCGAAAAACCCGCGCGGCCGATTAATTTATTTTACCAGCTCGGAAACGTATCCCGGAGACTGGGAAAAAATTCAGCGGGCGTAATTGATTTTTTCGCCGCCTTCCCACGGGGATCGTAAATTAATAATCGTTTTCCCTGCAAGCCGTTTATTAATCAGTCGGCGATACTTGCCACCGGTATGAAATGATAGCCGGCCTGCTTATGCGGCGGCCGTTCATCGCGGTCGGACGCAACGCGATATTTCCGCGTGCCCGCGCGTATTACATATGCCCGTCGGAGTGGATGCAAAAATAAATGCGCGAAATGTGCGTGCGCGCGCGCGCGAGTTCTGGATCGTGTCGAATGTTGCAAAATCGCGCGGCCGGCGTGAGTGGCAGTTTCGGTGGACCGCGGCCGGGCAGAATTCAATTATTACGTTCTGAAAGCGTAAAGAATCCGCGGGAAGCGTTTCATATATACTTCCGAGCTTTTTTCCCCCAAGTTCCAGCTCGCCTTTTTCCAATTCATTAACATACATACGCGATATAACCGCGGTCGAATAAAAAGCGAATTGTATCGCGCAGCTTCTTTCCGTACCGAAGAGCTAAGAGCAGCCCGTAAGAAAAATCCCCCCCGGCCGGTCTATTAGAATCCACCGAGTTCCGGTCTAACGAGCTCGAGCGGCGAAGGAATCTGTAACATTCTCTCGTTCCCGACGTCAACGGCGCGCATTCGTTCTCGATTCATCGCGGAAATTGTTGCTCTCGCCGGGGCGCATTAGCGATTCCGCAGCGGCAGCAGGTTCTTCCCGGCGATCGACGCCCGTCCGGATCGTGTCCGGCTTCGGCTCGGCTCGGCTCGGTCCAGCGCGACGCGCTCGTGTTTTATCTGGATCTCTCCGGCCGCGGCGATCGGCGAGATCGTAAAACGGCCCGGCCGACGGACTCGTTGTCAGTGGTATTTCCAATTGGCCGGTTGCGATCTCTAGAAGGAAACCGGTTCGACGACCAGCCGTGGATGTGTGTACTCCGGTCTCCCGCCTTGCGCGCTCATCTCTCTCCCTCCTTCCTCCGCGTCCTCTTCCTACTCCGTGGCGTCCTGCACTCGCTCTCGTCTTATCCCGTATAGTCAAACTCGCGAGGCCACTTTCCGTGTCGACTAGTCTCGGGCTTTACTTTTCCAGTGATACACGCGACGCGCCAGTAATCCGTCGTGACTTGGCACGTGCGGTCAAAATACCGCGGTATCGAGGTATCGAGGCTCGGCCGCGATCGAACTTTGGATGTTAACGCGCTGCGAGCCGGTGGCACCGTTCGCGTTTCTGAGGAACGCAAAAAGGGCAACAAAGGGCGATTTACTCGCGACCGGTCGGTGCGCCTCGCTCCGGCGCGATCACGATGGACATACCCGAGCGCGCGGACGATCGATGCGTAAGTGCTTCGCCGAATCTATAGATCCGAGGAACGTAGAGAGAGGCTCCGGCGTGACTCGGGCGAAAGTTTCTTTTTTTTTTCTTCTTAAATGGTTGGACAGCGCGAGGGATCGCTCGGAGGCGCGGGAATATCTCGATTCGGCAGTCATGTAGAAGAAGGTCGACGTCGGATCGAGGGCTTTCGCATTGATTTCCGGGAGGGGTCAACGGCGACTTGGAATCGCCGGTTTTTTAGCCTCGAGCAAAGCGAGAAATGAGAGCTTGACGGGGTTGGCAGACATCCGCGAGAGACTCTCAGTGAGTTCTGCGAGCCGAGCGAGGACGAGGGACGAGATGTCGTGAACGTTTCGCGAGGGAGACGCCGGGCCGCCTCTGGCGCGCGAGAATTTTGGGAATTTTTGCGAACGCCGGAAGAAAAGTTCCTTGTGTTTGGTTTCCGCAAGTTGGACCGGGACCTCCGGGGTCAGCCTGGCCGGAAAATTGGCAGTGTTAGTTGGCGGGGATTTTGCGGAGTGCATCGTGGAAGACTGCGCAAGATTCTACCTATGAGTGATGCTTCCGGACGTAGCTCTGGCGAAAGTTCGGCCGTTAGTTCCGCCCCGTTGAACGATACCGAGGAATCTTGTTCGCCGAGGGCCGATTCCGCCGCGCGATTACGCGAGGCGGAACGACGTGGTTGAGGGAGCCCGGGGAGAGAGCGGCCAGCCGCGCCAAAACGCCGCGGCCGCGTCTCTCGCGATTCATTTATAATAATCGGAGCGATCGTGCGTCGCACGAACGGTCGCGGCAGCGTATCGTCAATGGCGCACGTCCAATCTCCGATCGCTACATTAGGTTACGGATACCGCGCGATATCGCGGATATTGCCCGTTCGCGTCCCGGCGATCTGGTTCAGCTCGCGAATCGATGGGAAGAAACGGGCGCTCTTGCTTCCGTGAGATCGAGCCGCGGGCTCAAGGCCGGGTAAGCGCCGCACAATCGGATACACGGGTGGAAGAAAGGGATCTATAAAAATCCACGAACGCTCTCGGAACAGACGGTTGAAACTAATTTAATAAAATGAGTTTGGAGTACGATCGTGCGCCAAGGCGTATCCGCGCGCCCACGTAACACGACGCGCACACGGACCACCCCAGTGAATGTGAAAAGTGTCGGTTCGGTTATATCGCGCTTGTTCGTAACTCCTCCCTCGTCGGGTTTCGTTTATACATATATATCGCGCGCTCGCGCGCGCCCGCTCATTCTCATTCTCGAAAGCAGTGCGCGAATACGTGTACAACGAGTGGTGGATCGCGTGCCCCGCGATCTCGTGCCCCGACGCTTGTCGTTACACGTCCGATCGTAAGTGTAACGAAACTTGCTGTATACGCGGTATCGCGCCCTGTCACGGTACAGTAAAATTCGTGCCGCTCTGGACCGGCGGCCCGCTGTTCTCACGGACGAGGATCTGATCCTCGAACAACGGACAGAAAGAGAGAGAGAGCGAGCGAGGGAGAGAGGAAAGGAAAGAGAGCCGACGACGGAGGCCGAGGGAGATATGTGCGGCGTGGGATACTCGTTTTGGATCGGACTCGACTATCGGAAGTCCGTACGAATCCGTCGGTACGGCTACATTCGCACTTAGGCACCTGAAACGATCCGTGGGGCGGAAGGGAGGGAAAGTGCGTGAGCGGTTCTAATCAACGTCAATTGAGTTAGATTGGGGTCGAAGTGGTTCCGAAAGGGACGCCGATAAAAGCCATGGGCATCATGGACGCGTGGAAGGGCGGCCGGATAATCTATGCTTATCTCATATGGGTCGTCTTCAAGGCCGCCGTGGCGGGGGGACTTTATGGTGAGTAGCACACGTCCGGCTGGTCTGGTTGCAGGTTTTCGGCGGCCGCGCCATTGTCGTCGGAGGAGGTTCCCTCGATCACCTGGTAGAATCTTACGTCGCTCGTACGGCTCTTTTATTAAACTTATATAATAGCGAGGATGTAAAAATACGGCCGTAAAAATAAGTATCGATACGAAGAAGGAAAATAACTTATTTTTAGTGCGGGGAAAATAGCGGCTTCGCGCAAGAACTTGCCGAGAGACTGTAGAGACTTCCGGTAAACACGGTGTGTCTCTGCTATTCAACGCGCGCGCAAGAGACGTGACATCAAAATTACTTGAACCTTTCGATCGCCGCTCGTAAATATAGTCTCGCGGAGAAATGCTGCCATTGACTCCCGGTCGCTGCACAGGCTATAAATGTTATATCGATCGTTTTCGACGCCTGCCGAAGGGGGTTGTGCATCAACAGCGTGCATATTTGAAATTGTGTATGCGGGTAATAATACGTGTAAAGTTGCAAACAAATGGAAATGGAAAAAAATTGGACCGGCCCGGCCGACAAAGCAGCGTTAGTAGAAAATCGAAAGCCTCGTTACAAAAGTTCGATTGTGCAAGGCTTTCCGGGGGGTTGACCGATGCAAACTCATAGCGGGGAAATTGTGAAAACGTTAATTAACGTTCGCGATGGACTTTCCACGCTAACGCAAATACGCGGAAATATATGGTCTGAATTCTTAACGTACGTGTGGTTTTAATGATAATGAAAATTCGCGAATATCCCGTTGGCAAAAAAATAAAAGAATTATACGGCGCATTTGTTCTCCCCGGCGAATCATCTCGACTTTTTGGATTAATTCGAGCTGTTGGAATAACGAACTGTGACACCGAGTATCCCGTTATTCTATCAATCTGCCAGGGATAATATTCATAAACTTTATGTCATTAATGTATTTACATATTGTCATATTTAACCATTAATCTGTCCCATCAATCTGCCATGGATATCATTTATATAAGCTTTGTATCGTGCATACCGCTATAGATTGGAACCCGTTAATTCGTTTCGATTCTTTTTTGCGATAAAGTTGCACGTATCTCGGCGCGTATGCAGCTTCTTTTTTACAAGTCGCATAAACTTGTCACTTTTTGAGGAGAGCGCGAGCGCGATAAGCGCGATAAGACCGTATTATCTCTGAATTAATTACGTACTACCGAAGCGGAGGAGATAATAGACACACATATTTAGTTTTCATTAACACGTTCGGCGTAAGCGCGAAAGTACCTCTCGGCACGTATCGTTTTGAAGAGATATCCGGGAATTAATATCGATCCCGGGGGGAGGGGGAGCACGCGGCGGCGCGGGAAGGAGGGCCCTCGATGTTTTGCTTGTCGTTAATGAGAAATACGGTCTGGAGAACGCGTCTCGGAGGAGAGTCGACGGTGAGTCCTCGCGGCGGGGCTGATAGTCGTTTAAACCCCGCAATCGGTGCAAAGGTCGTCCGGAGAATTTTACAATGTCCTATTTCGCGTCCTCCCAGGTCTCGCCCAGGTAGCGGAACGCATAAAGGGGGAGCTAGAGTAAAAGTGGATGTTACTCGGTGGAAGAGGACGCCGCGCGTTCCGTGCTGCGTTCTCAAGCCCGGCAGCCGAGAGAGCTCGGGTTCACATTTTTCAATTTGTATCTCCTTGCCGATGTTACGGCGGAGCTAGCCACCGAGGCGCTATTCTTACGACGCGGGGAAAATGGCACGAAATATCGTGTATCGTGACGCTGGGTAACGCGGCGCCGCGAGCGATATTAACTTAGCGTCGCGCGTGATTGCCGACGTTACTTTGATTGATCGGGGCATGTAAAACGTCGGCGGGTTCGACAGGGTAGAAAGTGTGCGACCGGCGATACGGATTGATGATGATTTTCGCCCGGGTATCTCGTAATGACGCTTATACCGGGGCGACGCGCGCGTCCACCGATGCGGCGCACATTTTTCATCCGCGCGCGTGCACCGCCGTATGCGAATATTAAATGCTACGTTATCGTCGTGTAGATTAATTATGAATCAGCGCGTAACCCAGATACCGCGGGACCATTAATTAATGCGTGTCAAACCGTCGGGACGAACGCGCGGAAACCGCGCCCGGCTACGCTATGCTAGCCTACCATCGTCGGGACCTAACATCCTTCCGGCTTCGTATAAATCCACCGTCGCCGTCGCCGTCGCTCGTCGCGCGTTAACGTTTCCACGGAATACCGTCGGCTTTAATGAACACTTACCGGGCGGAATATCGCGCCCTTTCCCCTTCCTCACCCCCGAATGTAACGCGCGATTCGGCGGGCGGCAGCGGGAACGGGATAAATGAAGCGTGCGCGTGGAAGAAAGGTCGTGGCACGGAAGAGATAGTGGTTACCGCGCCCCTGCGAATTAGACCTAAGGTATGTGGCGTAGCCACGTATATAAGTAGATACGTACGCCAGGCGTGTACCGGTGCCGCAGCCTCACGTAGTCGCGCGAACGCGTTACACGCCCCCTACATACGCGCGCCCTATCCGTACGCCCGACTTTCCGTGTAAATGGGAATTGCAATTAACGGCTACATTTGCTACGGTCCGGCATTACTGCCTTGTCGGATGGCCGTCCATATTTCTATATACCTCCCTCTTCCCCTTTTTATCTTCTTCCCCCCTCTCTCTCTCTTTCTCGCTTGCTTGCTCGCTCGCTCGCTCGCTCGCTCCATCTCCGTCTCCCCGTCCCATTGTGTATTGGCCAATTACGTATTCTCGAACCACGCAAGAATTTACTGTCGCGTAACCGCAGTACCGCTGGCTGGTTAAGAGCACGACGGGCACGGAAACCGAAGTCGATCACGATCCGGGGATGAGGGTGCGCTTCCCCATCGGCCATGGAAATCAGCGGTATCGATTTTCCGTCCGAAAGATCCTTGTCCGAGAATTCGGTCGTTCTAAATGTTTCAAAGCGGTTAATGGAATTCGTCAGCGACAGAAATTAGACGAGCGGAATATGTAGCTGCCGCGTGGCGCGGATTCGGCCGCGGAATAAATTTATTTTGTCATGAATTGGGCTTTTGGGTCGTCGGGACAAACTGGATGACGGCAGTGCCGGTGTATGAAAATCCGAAACTAATTTCGCAATTAGCCGCAATCCCGCGCGGTGAAATAAATGTTGTATTTCGGTAACGAGAGTTTGCAAACCGCGGGCACACACATAGAGAGGGAGGGAGGGAGAGGGCGAATGACGAAAAAGATAAATATCGTCGCGTTAAATTTTCGACCGGCGTCGTTAGATGTGTAATTCGGGCGCGTTTATATTGATTGCGTGTATCGTCTCTGTAATTTTCGCGACTATACCGCGTCTAGAGCGCGGACGTGGCGTGCGTTAGAATAATTTGTCCCGCTGTCGTTGTTCTCACTTGGCCGTCGGTGTTCCGTAGGCGTTGCGCCCGACAACTTCATTGAAAATGCAAAAGACGTTTCGTATACTCAGCAGTTAGCGCCCCGGCGCGTAAATAAGCCGGCCGAGTTCGCACTTTACTTTAAGGCGTCTAATCCGCGACGTCAAACGCACGTCGATGTGTATCCACCTCGGACTACCGGAGCGAAATTATTTTCACCCTCGACGTTATCAAATGTTATTATCGCGGCACGTTGCTCGATACCTGTCGCGACTATAATCTGTTTTGAGAATGTAGAGCGCTCGATTTTCACGACGCTCCGCCGCTGCAGAAACTAACTATTCGCAGTATCGCGGAATCGCTGTCTGTATCGGGATCGAAGCGACGATAAGTGAAAAATACGATTAAGTTCGCAAAGTTCTTTAATTAGGAATAAAAAGAAACCGGTTAGGAATAAGAAACCTGATGCAAACGCTGCATATAGAACATGTCGTTTATCTCGAAACTCTTTTTGCACGAAATTCCACTTTTACCCCGAGCTGCGGAATAATGAAAACATTTCCCGTTACGATGGACAAGTTATGACTTAATTAAGCTGCGTGCGAATATAATTTTTCAACGTTCCGCGTAACGTAAGATCGATACTCCACCGAGTGTGACACAGCCGACTGCGACGAGTACGATTATCACGGAGCGCAATTAATCCGCGGCTGCACGAAGGTGTCGTACACCCTGGGTCAGGATCGTGACGACTACCTGACACGTTATCGCGATCGCTAGGAAAATCGATGCGAAAGTTTTGAGATTCTTGAACTCGCGCGGAAGGAGAGCTTCTCGGAACGCGAGTATATCGATCGTCGTCGCCCTGGCCTGGCAGTTTTGGTCGAAGCGAAGTAGAGACGAGAGAGGGTTGCGGTAGGTTGGGTCTTTGACCTGGATACCAATGCGTCTTTCGGAGTTAGGCCGGCCATCGGCATCGTCGAAATTGAATTTCTCGAGGACGATTAGGCGCCTCCCATCCTTCTGGCGCACATAGAGAAATAGGCAGGACGCGCGCAATGCCATGACTCCGCGACGGGAAGACTCGGCAACTCCGGCCGAGAATGTCCCGCAAAACCGACAACGAGATATTCGTGTGCGAGCTGAAGGGACGAAGAAGCGATAATCGGATAATACGATGGCGGGAGCGGAAAATCAAATGCGCGAGACGGATCGACTCGGATGGCTGTGAACAATCGCGAGTTGGTCTCAAAGAAGCTACGCAAGACAATGCGCCGTGACGTAATAACTCGCGATCGAAACGGCTGAACCTTGAATGGATGAACGTCGATTCTTTTATTCATAGGTCGCGTTACGCGTCTACGTTTCGTCAAGCGATGTAATCTGCCCCACGATTTTATTCATGTTGTTCATTAGTTTATTATCAGCGCATTTGTCGTAACGACCCGTCAATCGATACGGCTTTATTCTTCCGTTATTTCTTTTGCCCCATCGTCAATTCTTCTGCTTTTCTAGAGAATTAGTTTTACCTTGAGATTACTTTCTTCTGCCCAGGTCAAATTGCTCGAGCTCCGAGTTATTCGGAGTAAAATACGCCAGATTAAAAGT